CCCCAAAACCCCAAAACCCCAAAACCCCAGGAGACTTATTTTCAGAAAAATATTCTATCATCAAATCAAATTATTAATATATTTGAGTGGAACACAATTTTATCAAAGTACCTATATTTAGCCAAGAGCAGTTTTATCATATATCACTGCTAAATCCTTACGCCTAATAAATCTCATGCCATCTCCAAAAAGTTTAGTTATCAAAGGTCTAGTATCTGGTACAAGCCCACTTTCAGCCCTCTTATGCTTGCCTTAGTCTGAACTCATAGCTCTCTTATGATTGTCACCGTGCTTGTTATGATTACCTTCATCTCTATGGCTTAAAGGTTACAGAGCTATACTTGGATTTGCTCTTTATTAATCTAGTATAGATTTCTTTTGATTTTATTGTCTTAGCAGTTCTAGATGCCTTTAAATTTCATCATCATTGTCAAATTCATCATATGAGTCTTTTTGTCTCTCCATAATAGTTTTGAATCTCTTAACCTCCATTCGTCTGAGTTTTTCCTATTCCATGGCGTAAGCATCTAATTTATTAGGACTTATGTTTTGATCTTATTCTTAATTTAACTAGTTCTGGAGTCTTTGCTCGAGACTCTCGATGCATACTCTTCTGAATTTTCCTTTTTCCTAGGATAGCAGATTGATATCCACAAGATTCATCGTCTCAAAATCTACTTCTGAGTTTATATATCTTATTTTCTCTCTTTGCTTGATACTGCCCTAATTCGTTTTGCCAGCTGTTCTTTCGTACTACTATTTGATAATGTGCTTTGCAAATATGATTCTTCTTATCGGTGTTTGCTATAAAGATCGTGATTACAAAAGATGCTTAGGCAGCTTCTTTTCTCTGCTTTTGAAATCTCTTTTGATCACAACTGTTGCTAAACTTTCATGTTTTTTCTCTTCTCTTTGGATCAAGATCTCTCTCTAGGTGAGTACTTTATTCTTGATAAAATCATAGGTATTTTTAATCCCACTTGAAAAGTCCTTTTGTTCCTTTGAAGGAGACATTGAGCATCGAGCCGTAGAAAACCCAGATTTACAAGTTTCTATTTGTTTCGGTGCTATAATAACAACCTTTTTTTGAGTGTTGTTATCTTATTAAATCTTGACTTCAAAGTTCTTAAGCATCTCTAGATTCAAAGATTTAAAGCGTAAGTGTCTAGCTGACTGACCAATATGCTGATTATTGAAAAGGGATTAATGCTATTGCAAGTTTAACAAAGTTTGATCAGGTACTGTCTCCATAATGGTACTGTGTCTATTGTCCTCAGTGACTGTTTTATTGTCTGTTGTAAGGTGAAGTAAATTGGTTGTAGATCCATTTCATCATGAATTCTCCTTTACCTAATCCACAATCTTTTCCTTAATGTGTCTCTGTATCATTTACTAGATGTCTTTCGTGCTGCCATTGCTTTTAAGATTGTTTATTCCACTATGATTGAAGACACCACTGGCAGTGGAGTTTCTATTTTTCTAATACATGTTCTTAATCGTGGTGTTCCTTCTTTTTCCATTTTAAGATAGATCATGTGATTTATCTGTCTCCAAGGGCTTTTGTTAGCATTGCACTGGATTAATTTAGCATGTGAACATAACTTTTAGCTTATTAGGCTTATCACTTAGCATGGCGCTATTGCCAGTCTCCATTAAAATTTATTAAATTCCAAATGAAATATTTCCTGTTTATTTTTTTATTTTAATCTTACGGGGTTTTGGGGTTTTGGGGTTTTGGGGTTTTGGGGTTTTGGGG